ATAAAAAAATAACCTTTCAACTAGCTTTGGCACTTTAGAGGGCATATGTATCGGACATTAGGTAATTACCTCATTTCTCCGTTTCCCACTTTCCAACAACCCCTGAGTTCCTTTCCAGGATCCATGGGTTTCCAGGAAGCACACTGCACCTGGGTATAGCAGGGCTGCGTCAGTCAATCCCACTGACCAGAATGATTCGTTCAGGGTGGTCATATGAACTCAGCCTGTCCAATCAGATGGGACTCTCAGGACTTTTGCTGAAAAGGCTGGCACATAGACTCTCTTCCTTGCTAACCATGAATGAGGAGGAATGCAGCCCCTGGGATCTCACAGCAGTCATATTGGGGCAGTAAGGGGAGCAGAAGCCAGGAAGAAAGAGTAGCCTGAAGACTAGGAAATTAATTAGGGGCACATATGGAACCCACAGCCCATAGCCACTGCTTAGGAAGCTCTGGTGTAGTCGATCAGGCTTATGCCCCTTGGGGTGCCTGCTATCTGTCACAAAACAAGACCAATTTACAAGCATCATGGAAAACACTGGAAGAGAAAGTTCTAGGAATCTAGGAATCTTTTACCATGGTCACATCCTAGACTAGGGCTTTTAAGTATTTTTTTACTGTACCCTCAATAAAAATAAATGTTACAGTGTGACCAGTACACACATAGCTGTATATATAACTCGAACACAAGTTTCACAATAGTTTTCAAAGTATTTACCCTTGCTATGTGCAATTAATTTAAATTTTCAATTCTATCCTACTCCATTTTAAAAGAATAAAGCTGGTGCCAGTGCCCTAGCCTGTGTGGCTCAGTTGGTTGGAGCATTATTCTATAACCAAAGGGTTGCAGGTTTGATTCCCAAGCAGGGCACATACCTAGGTTGTCGGTTTGGTTCCCAGTCCAGGCATGTATGGGAAGCAACAAACTTATATTTCTCTCATTGATGTTTCTCTCTCTCTCTTCCTCTCTCTAAAAAGCAATGAATGAATGTCCTTGAGAAAGAATTTTTTTTAATTATAAAAAAAAGTAAAGCTGGTTGCAAACTTCTAAATGATTTCATGATCTTCTAAAGGGTTATAATTTGCAATTCAGAAAACACCACCCTGTATATACCATGCCATCATCAATTGCTACAAAACTTAACTCTTGGTTTTAAGCATCCTACCCTTCACTAATTTTCCTGCTTCTGTACAAAGTACATTCTCTATCTTCCTTTGTTATGAAGAAAAGTCCCAGTGCCTATCCGAGGAGAACCTTTGCCCAACCTGTGCCGAGGGCCCTGAGAACTTACATTGTACATATTCTCTTTTTGCATTGTCAAATTCTGCTGTTCTGTTGGAATATTTAGTTTACAAAACTGCTCTAGAATCTCTCTTCTTAAAACCAAAAACAAACCAACAATCAAAAAGCTCTCCTTGGCCCCATTTCAACCCCCACTTCCTTGAGCCAAACCAGAGCAGGCATAGTTGAATGGGCGGCCTCGAGTTGAACTCAGTAGAATGGATGAGAATCTTGGCAGGAAGACAAGTGGTGGGTATGAAAAGGAGAAGAAGGCCTCAATATTTGTGTGAATGGATGGAAATCAGCAGTGAATTTTGACCCTATAACTATTTTCCTTAAACTCCCATTTTGAGAATCTTGCTCCCTGCCTCCAAATCTTTGTTGCTGGAGCCTGGACATTGGTAACAGCTAAGTTCAAGTTCAACACCAGTTTGCCATTTCCGAGCTGGCTAACTTTAGATAAATCACATTTCTTCTTCAAGTTTTCTCACCTGTAAAATCAGTCTAATTAAAACCTATCTCATCAGCTGGGCTTAAGTATTAAATGAGATCAACACAGCTCTCATTATTATCGAGGGCTTCCCTCGTCCTTGAACAAAACCTGACTTACGCACTAATAATAATTAGCATAGTGACCACTTGTTGAGCAAGTCCTCTGTGCCAGGCAGTATGTTGACCTTATAGTTTCCAAGCCAAGGATTCCCTGGTACCTTTTCACTGCAGAACTTTTTCCAATATCTCAACATTTGTAGAGTGAATACTATGTACCAGAGAGTGAACTGGATTACTTGCATTCATTCATTCATTCATTCATTCATTCTATAGATGTTAATGAAGCACTTATGGTGCCAGTGATTTCCTAGATGCTGGGAAAACCAAGAGGAACAAGGCTCTGAACCTTGAATTTACTAGTCCCAGTAAATGCTGTGCAATGAGGCTATGTATGTGGGGTGCTCTTTCCTCATGGCTTCCTAGGTCTAGGCAATCCCATCTTTGGCACCAGACCCCACAACTGACAGTGTTTCTGATTCTGCTTTTCTGGCTTTACCTTAGAGCTATAACTCAGGAAGTGCCTTTGAATTCTCAGCTCTCCAGGTGGCCACCAGGATTAAGAGATTTTTGTGTTCCTAATCTCTCCTTACCTGGGATTCCCCTCCAGAAGAAATTTAGCATATATCTAAAAGACAGGTAATTGCTGGTCTGGCTGGCTCTTAACCCGTCACACTTTTTTTTTTCTTACCCTCATCCGAGGATGTGTTTATTGATTTTAGAGAGAGAGGAAGGGAGACAGAGAAACATGAATATGAATGAAACATTGTTTGCTTGCTTCCCATACACACTCCGACCAGGGGTCAAACTTGCAATGTAGGTGTGTGCCCTGACTGAAAATCGAACCCACAGCCTTTTGTTGCACAGGATGATTTTCCAACCAGCGGAGCCGCTGGAGCAGGGCTCCAGAAGCCTGATTTATCACAGCAGAGTGGAGCCATCTCTCAGGGGGCTCTTGTATTCACAAAGCTTACAGAAACTGATAGTTATACAAAACAATTCAATAGACTAATTTATATGAAAAATGCAGTTATCAAAAGAACTGGAATCCTCTAGGTGGCAGATCACTAAGTTCTGTCCCTGTGGTTAAGATATTTGCTGAGTGAGCTTAGAATCACACCAGGAAAGTGTACTGAAGCATTTCTTAGCTGAGGCAGCCTGAAATATTCTCACCCACTACAGGGATGGCATGGACAAGGAAACGGAAACACTCAGCTTGGCTTGACTGAGGCAGGGCTTAAGGGGGCCGTGCTAGTACTTGTCTCTGGCTGCCTTGTTTTTGGCTGTCATGGCTAATTAAGCCCTCTGATTCACAGACTCTCTCTTCAAACAGGACACAGAACAATTGGTTGACAAGATTGATTAAAGTTTCTTTTATTAAATGACAATCACATCTGTCTTCTTGATTCCTCTTACATGACCTGTATCAGAATTTTTTTTTTAAACGTGTTTCTGGACAAGCTCTTGGCTTACCCTCACACGACAGCTAATTTCAGGGCTGTACTAATCAGTTTAGGCTAGCTAGGTTATGCTGCAGTAACAAACAACTAAAACAATCTCAGTGACTTACAACAAAGGTTGTATTTCTTACATGTCACGTGGCTATGCACATCTTCATTCTGGGACCAAAGCTAAGTACCTCTACTCGGGACGTGCTGCTCTCATGGCAGAGAAAAAATAATATGGGAGAATCATGAAATGGCTTACATTTCTGCTCAGAAGTGGCTCATGCCATTTCTATTCATAGTTCATTGATTGAAAGATGGCTAAACTTGATTACATTAGGGTAAGAAGTATAATCTCCTATAGACAGGCCAGATAGGGAAGGAAGGTTTAAGAAAGGGAGGAGCAAAGAATATTGATAATAGTCTACAAGAAGGACTAATATTACCTATGTGCACCAGTGTCATTGTTACCAGTTATAATATTGACTGATAAAATATACTCCCATACTAGCTGGTAACTAGCTGCTGTCCCAAGCTTCCTGATAACTCCCATCCCCTAAGACTCCCTTATTCACAAACTAGCATGAGGAGTTAACATCTAGTGCAGAAAGGTAGCTCCAGGACTTCAAACCTACTAGATCAATGCTTGAACACCACCTGTGGTTAAGTATGTTAAGTACCCGCCTTGGCTAATTTCCTCTGCTATGTAATTTTTATTAGTTTAATTCTGAGTGCAACCTGATTTCCAGGCTCTTAGAGGGAAACTCACTGCAGCTCCTATGTGTTGTGGTTACTTAATAATAATATTTGTGTTGCTTTCTACACATTTTGACATCTTTTGCATAGTACATGCAATAATGCTCAGTAAATATTTGTAGAAAGACCTAATTTTTCCCATTAGCTAAACTTTTCTACTATCTCAACATACTATTTATTTTGAATCTTCGTTAATTTTTATACCATTTCTCATGTCTGAAAATATCATCATCACTAACTTCTATAGAATGCATTTGCAATTTACAAAGCACTCTCCCTTACACCATTTCATTCAATCTCCCCAACACTCTCAGGAGGTAGGAATTAGATTTTACAGATGATGAAATTGAGACTCAGTGAAGTCAGGTGTCTTACAGCTAGTTAAGTCCTGTTCATTCATTCATCAAATATTGAGTGCCTAAACTTAGATGTGTTAAGGTTGGATTTAAAAACAACTTACCTGAATTCAAGTTAAGGGTTTATTCCACTATTCACAACTATGTTACCACCAGGGCCATGAACTCAAAGGAAGGAAACAGTAAGTCTGTTGATTTTATTGTTGAAGACCCCTGCAACACAAGTCTCAGAAAGGCTCCAAGGTCATTTGTAACACTCAAGGTAGCCACTAGCAGGAGCAATCTCATTTCTCTCTGTGCTTGCTACTTAAGCACTAACAGTCTCACTGTAGATAACTCCATTCACTACATATTTAATGAATTTATCCACAGGTTTTGGAGCTATTTAAATTGAGTTTTGACTGTAGCTGTGGAACCTGAACAAGTTACTTATCCCTTTGAGCTTATTCTACCATCTGCGAAGTAAAAGTAATACTAATGTCCTAGAACTAACTCGTGGAGGTTAAACACATAAAGTATGAAAAAGATGTGGTAATGCTCATCGTAGCTACGGTTTCCAACCTTTTATGAAGTTTTAAACTCCGCATTCAAATAAAAACAATGTCTATGTCGTCGTAAGACTACAGGCTGACCACTCTTGGGCAGCGCTGTTCTTTATTCTGGAATATATCATTTTACACTTTTGGTGTTAAATCTTCTTTTACTGCAATGGTACCTGTCGTCTTCAACAGCGCACTTAATCTGGAATCCCCATGTCGTCCTTCGTCCCAAAGTAAAAAATTAACACATATATAAAACACCTTATTCTTTAAAACCCAAAGCAGTGCGTATCACAGCCGATAACCAGAGGTATAAAATGCCCTAAGGCGGTCACCAGGGAACGCCTCCGGATAACCTAGAAAAGGGCGGAGCCAGAAGGCCCTCAGATCTCTTTCTGCCTCACAATGTCGCCAGCTCTTCCCAATTCTCGCGAGACTTCAAGCGATTCAGCTTCTGCGTACTACAAGATACTGGGAGTCTAGGAGCCAAGGGAGGGGGAGGGGAAGGGGGGACGGTACAAACAGCGTGGCCGCCATCTTGTTTGCACCCCCGCTTCGCGCTCGCTCCGCTCTCCGTGACGCACGCTTCCCCTCCCCTCCGCGGTGCCCAGGCCCCTGCCTTGCTCTACTCCGCTGGAGCGCGGGGGCTGCTCCCGCTCTTCCCTGGACTCCTGAGCAGAGGCGTGTAAGTGTGCGGGAGCTCTGTGGGAAGGAGGGTGTGAGGTAAGCGGCAACGGTGGGGGGAGGGGCAGCGCTTCCCGCCTTCGGCTGCGACCTCACTTCCCTCTCATGGTCGCTGCTGTAGTTCTGTCCGGCCTGCCCGCCGCCATGTTGTGTTCTCTCCGGGGCCGCCGCTGTCACCGCCGCCGCCGCGCTCGTGGGGTCCGTGTGCCTCGCCGGCCCGGCCCGCGGGCTTTCTCCCATTGGCGGAAGGCAACGGCGGGGGGGCTCGCTCGTGATTGGTTGGTGGCGGGGAGGCCGCGGACCTGGCACCTTATTGGTCGCGCTGGCTCCGGCCTGGGGGGTGATGAAGGAATCGGAGGCTGCGGAGATGTGCGCGTCTTGGGCTTGTGCTGTAGGGCGATGACCCCCTACGGCGCAGGCGTGGGGTGGAGGCTGGGGCGAACCTAAAGGCCTTAAGGGAGAAGAGAGGATGGTGGTCTGGCAGGTACTTTGGAGTAGTCTGTGCATGGCCAGGAGTGGGAGGCCTAGTATAGGGGCATGAAAGCCCCAAGGGTGACAGACTTGGAAACACTGAAACCCAAGTTAGTGAGGATCTTCAAGATCCAGGATGCTAAACTTACAGAGTAACGCAGTTCGGAATTGACCCTAATGTCCATGGATAGTAGGTCTGAGAGCGTAGTATATCAGTAAAGGGCTTCAGGCCCCTAGGGACATATGGGAAAGTTAGGAGCTCGTCAGGGATTTTGCTATTCAGTGCCAGCATTGAAACACTGCGGTTTAGGTGGAGTCCTGGAGTTCAAAGTTACCAGACCTGGGATATGATATGAAGAGGAAGTAAACAGACTCAGCCTGAGGGAGAGATCATGCTGGATAGGTGTGCTGATCTTAATAACTGAGTGCCAAGCCTAGGAGGCACCGCATTAAGTAGTGACAGATCTATAGGATCGAGAAAGTATTGGGTTGGCCAAAAAGTTTGTTTTACCCTAAGATGGCTCAAGTAGGGCTTAGTTGTCTTTAACTTCATTAGAAACAGTCTTGTTAGATTCTGTTACAGCTGTCATATCAGCATGCATTAAAAAAAAAACTTAGCAAAATTGGTGAATTTTTATGTAGCCATTTTAATATCGAGGATGGAAGAAAATATGCAACATTTCTGGCATATTATGCTTTATTATTTCAAGAAAGGCAAAAATGCAACTGAAATGCAAAAAAAGTTTGTGCAGTATATGGAGACGGTGATCTGACTGATGAAAGTGTGAAAAGTGGTTTGCAAAGTTTCGTGCTGGAGATTTCTTTGCTGGGTGATGCTCATGGTTGGGTAGTCCAATTGAGGTTGATAGCAATCAAATTGAGACATTGAGAACAATCGATGTTATACCACTCAGGAGATAGCCAACATACTCAAAATATCCAGATCAATAAAGTTACTGGTGAAAATGAAAAATGTGTCTTTTATTTTACAGAAAAAAACTAAGTGGAATTTTTTGGCCAGCCCTTTTACAAAGCATTTTGGGGTTCATTTTCAGACTTGGGAATTATATATCGTAAGGGAGCAATTATAGGTTATTGGCACTCAGGACCATGCAGCTAGTTTTGAGATGTTCTCTGTAAAGCTTTCTTGCTTTAGAAGGATAGATATGTTAGGTTTCTCTTTAGCAGAAGAGAGTTTGACAGAGATCCTGGATCTTGGCTCATGTACTTCCTTTTATATATGCCTAAAAATACATCCACTGTTCCATGCATTTAAAAAATTATTTAAAAAATAAGCAGCCCAGAACGAAAATAAATTAGTGTGTAGCTTCTTGCATCTTGTCTTAAGCAACAGGACTTGTCAGCATTTTCTAGTTCATGTTTCAAAAAGTTTTTGTTGTAATTAACAGTTGTCAGAGTCAGCTTGTTGGGTATACATTCCTTTTCCATTGAATGGTAATGACTTGGATTGTTTTACATTTGTGTCTTCCAAGGTTTGAGGATCAGGGAAAAACATTTGTGTTAAATCTCTTTGTTTTCCTAATTTGTTTTTTCTTGTCTATGTTTGATGGTTCTTTCTGGCTTTAGATAGATATTATACTTCTGTTTTCATGTCAATTTCAAGAAATTCTCCTGGTTTTCAGATTTGGTCACTTTTTATGTGAATGCACATAAATTTTTTGAGAGAGAACTAGTACTTTCCAGTGATAAAGGAAGGGAATTGACACTTTGGGGCATATTTAATACAACGTTCCTGGTAGGTAGGGCAGATGAGAAGTTGAAGATCAGAGAGGATAATTAAGTAGCATGTCCAGTGTCATTTAGTGGCTGAACTGGGATTCAAACTCAAGTTGCCTGATGCCAAAGCCTGTGGTTTTATCTGCTACATCATGCTACCAACATAAACCTGACTAGTCAAACTCCCAGATAGTTCTATATTTTAAAGCGGATCATCTTTCTTTGATTTCTGTGTGTTAGGAGTGTATTGAGTGGGAGAATACAACTAATAAGAATTTGTAGATCTTTCTTTAGGACTTCTAGTCAAGATGGAGGCGTAGGCAAACACTGCTCGCCTACTCGCACAACCACAGCAAAATTTACAACTAAACTACAAAACAACTATCACCTAGAATCGTTAGAAAATCGAGCTGTATGGAATCTTGACAACCAAGGAATTAAAGATGTTACGTTCATCTAGGTGAGTAGGAGGGGCAGAGAAACGGCTAGGCACGGAGATACAGATGCAGAATGGGCAGTCCTACACCTACATGTGGTGGATAAAAATTGGAAGGGATTCCTTGGGAGCGAGGGATCCTAGCCCACACCAGACCACCCAGCCCAGGGTTCCAATGCCAGGAAGACATGCCCCCATAACTTCTGGCTGTAAAAAACAGTGGGTGTTGCTACAGTGGAAGAAACTGGGATTCTTAGGAGTCTGCAGACCTAGGACTTACGTAGACTCACTCCCTCTGGGCCTTAGCACTGGGGCAGCAGCTGGAAGGGCCCCAGTGGCATATGGGGAGAAATTGAAGTGTCTGGCATCAGGGCAAGTGCCTGGGGACAGCTTCCTCTCAGACAAAATTTCAGAGGCCAGGCAGTGGCATCGTCCTCTCCCTGAGCCCTCCCCCATACAGAGCCACAGAGCTGTGACACCATATCAGAGACTCCACCAACCTTATTCACACAGGTTGCCTCATCTTGGCGATTACCTAAGGCTCCGCTCCATCCAACTTACGGGTGCTCTTTTCCACAACAGGCCACATTACTAAAGATGGAATCAGCAGCTCTGTCCAACACATAGAAACAAATACGGGAGGCTGCAAAATGAGGAGACAAATATGGCCCAAATGAAAGAACGGAACAACACTCCAGCAAAGGAACTAAATAAAATGGAGATAAGCAATCAGTTAGATGCAGAATTCAAAACACTTCTTATTAGGCTGCTCAAGGAACTCATTGGGTACTTCAATAGCATAAAAGAGACCCAGGCAGAAGTGAAGGTTACCAATAAGTGACATAAAGAAAAAATTATAGGGAACCAACAGTGGAGTTGATGAAGCCAAGAATCAAATCAATATTTTGGAACATAAGGAAGAAAAGAACATGAACTGCAAGAAATAAAAAGAATCCCCCAAACAAGGATAGGCTAAGGAGCCTTTGGGACAACTTCAGATGTACCAACATTCAATTCATAGGGGTGCCAGAAGGCGGAGAGAAAGATCAAGAAATTGAAAACTTATTTGAAAAAATAATGAAAGAAAAGTTCTCTAATTTGATGAAGGAAATAGACATAGAAGTCCAGGAAGCACAGAGTCCCAAACAAGATGCAAAGAGGCCCGCTCCAAAACACATCATAATTAAAATGCCAAAGGTTAAAAAGATAAAGAGAGAATATATTTTTAAGGATTTTTATTTATTTTTTTAGAGGGTAAGGGAGGGAGGGAAACGTCCGTGTGTGGTTGCTCTTGCACGCCCCCTTCTGGGGATGTGGCCTGCAACCCATGCATGTGCCTTAGACTGGGAAATGAACCAGCAACCCTTTGGTTTGCAGGCCGGCACTCAATCCACAGAGCCACACCATCTAGGGCTAAAGAGAGAATCTTAAAAACAGTAAGAGAAAAGCAAAGACCTAGCTACAAAGCAGTTCCCATAAGGTTGTCAGCTGATTCCTCAAAAGAAACTTTGCAGGTAAGAAGGGAATGGCAAGAAGTAATCAAAGTGATGAAATGCAAGGACTTAAAACCTAGATTCCTCTATCCAGCAAAGCTATCATTTAGAATGGAGGGGCAAATAAAGTGCTTCCCGGGCAAGGTAAAACTAAGGGAGTTCATTATCACCAAGCCCTTATTACATGAAATGTTAAAGGCACTTATTTAAGAAACAGAAAAAGATCAAAACTATGAAACATTAAAATGGCAATAAATTCACAACAATCAACAATTGAATGTAAAAAAACTAAGCAAACAAGCAGAACAGGAACAGAATCATAGATATGGAGATCATTTGGAGGGTTATCAGTTGGGAGGGGGTAGGGGAGGTATGGGGGAAAATGTGTGGAGATTAAGAAATACAGATTGGTAGGTACAAAACAGAATGGGATGTTAAGAACAGTATAGGAAATGGAGTAGCCAAAGAACTTGTATGTCTGTCCCATGGACATGAACTAAGTGGGGGATTGTCAGACGGAATGGGGGGGTACAAGGTGGAGGGGGGCAAAGGGGAAAAAGTTGGGACAACTGAATAGCATCATCAATAAAATATTTTTAAGAAATTAATTTGTAGTACTGTTTCAAAGATTCAGACCACAGAGTAGTAACCATTTGAATATAGGTTCTTCAACCAGGTATTTAAATCTTACCCCTTGGTTTCTTTTTTTTTTTTAAGATTTTATTTATTCATTTTTAGAGAGAAGGGAAGGGAGAGAGAAAGAAGGAGAGAAACATCAATGTGTGGTTGCCTCGCATGCGTTCCCCACTGGGGACCTGGCCTGCAACCCAGGCACATGCTGTGCTTGGGAATCGAACCTGTGACCCTTCAGTTCTCAGGCCCACACTCAATCCACTGAGCCA